ATTGCGCAAATACATATTACTACATATGGCCAATGAGGTGCAGGCGAGGAGACTTCAAGTACATCTGAGGCACTTAGTAACTGAACGGAAGTTATCGGAAGTTGCTTCAAGTGATCTGTTGTGTGTGGGTGTGTACATGTGATGAAGTTGCTTCAAAGGATGTGTGTTGTGTGTGGGTGTGTATATTTGATGATGTTGTGGGTGTGTATATGTGATGATGTAGTGTGTAGGTGTATATAAGTGATGATATTGTATCAAGTGATGTATTGTAGGTAGATGGGTGTGTGTGTGATGAAGTCGTTCCAAGCGATGTGTTGTGTGCGCGTGTATATCTGTGGTGTATAATTGTACGTTGTTTTCATGACATAACTGTATGGTAGTATTGTGGTTACCAGTCCCGTTGAGCATAAAGTGAACGGGTGGGGCTATCCCTTTAGCAGGCCTTGTAGAACATATGATAGAGAAAGCAGTTATATTCGTTTGCCTTGTTCGGCGCATATTATACAAAGTAGGTTGACTGTAGATGGGTGTTATGCGGTTCGTACTGTTCTATAGTTATATGGGTAGGTATACAGAAAACCTAAGTTATAGATATAGATATATATATTACGCAAATACATATTAGTACTTTTAGATGTACAGGAAGTTACGTCAAAACACATTGTGTTGTACGAGTCCAAATCTAAACCCTAAAATGTCCTCACACAAATACCAATTCATATCTCTGTCCTGTTGTAGAATGGTGTTCCCGCAATCCGATTGGAAGGAAAACTATGGCACTTATCTACAGGCAGATTCGTCTGATCCAGACTCTGTGGGTCACACTTCGGACAACGATCTTTTGGCCATCCATATCTTCAGCAACTTCTTCTCGTACGACTTTCAGGTGTGTCGATGTATATGGTATATGTATGTATGTATGTATGTACGTATGTAATATATATATATATGTATATATGTACATATGTGTATATGTATATATGTTAGTATGTGAGTATATATATGTATATGTATATATATATAAATATATATATATATATATATGTAT